AGAATATAGAAGATTTCGATTCCTGAAACTCATCGGGAACGGTTTCTACTCTGTCCTGCAGGGTCACTGTGAACCAGCATTGACTTGATTGATGGCAGTGAGTTTGGTTTGGTTTTGGAGCCCTGGCGGCACTAATGAGTGAGTCATTGGACTGTGAACTCCAAGGTTGGAGCTTCAAACCACCGCCTAAGTTTTGGTTATCTGTTAAATCTACAGCCTCAGAAAGCTAAACCTATAGGGTCTGAATTGACTGGATGGCAGTGGGTTTAGTTTTGTTTTGTTTTGTTTTGGAAGATAGATTGACATGGTGGCATTGGGTTTGGCTTCTCTTTTAGCTGGGGGAGGTCAGTGGTAGTGGTTAAAGTCTAGTGTCATACTTTTTAATTTTTTTAATTAGAAAGGTGTTTACTATGTAAAACAACTGGAAACAGCCTAATTTTGTTACATGAAGATGGTAGCATGCTACAGAACCTAAAGAAATGAAATAGTATAACATTTGGTGACATCTCACAGACTCTTCCATATAGGGTTGCCTTGAGGTTGCGTCGATTTGATGAAAGTGGGTTTTTTAAAAAGTTTACTGACCTATAATTCACGTACCAAACAATTCAGTGCTTAAAAAATATTCGAGTTGTGCAATCAGTACAACAATTTTGGAACATTTTCTTCATTGCGATGCACATTCTTATTAGCTCCCCACCAACCCCCAACCTACCTTGCCTTAACTACAGAACTATTAATCTAGTTACTGTTCTCATAGATCTTCCTAGCCGGGATTTCATATAAAGAAAATCACGCAAAAAACAAACAACAGTAATAAAAACACCAGCACTACCAACAAAATAAAACACAAAAAAATCTCAGTCCAAGAGAAAGCAGAAGATAATAGAAACTAGGATAAGTTAAAATAGGTTAGAAAGGGAGCTGATGCCAGGGGCTTAAGTGGAGAGCAAATGTTTTGAGAATGATGAGGGCAATGAATGTACAAATGTGCTTGACACAATTGATGTATGTATGGATTGTGGTAAGAGTTGTATGAGCCCTAATAAAATTATTTTTAAAAGAATAGGTTATGGATTGTGATAAGAGTTGTAT